ATGAGATTTATTGAAAATATGTCGTCGGGACTTAGAATTATGACCTTACTATTTCCATGTTATAATGATGGTTTTCGACTTACTTTCTTCACTTTCACTTATCGGCGATAAGTAATCGCCAAAGTGAAATCTAAGTAAAAACTCGTGCGTTTGGGGCTCGAAATCTTTGCTTGACACGATCCAACCATTTCCATACACTTGGCCTTTGATATTGTTGAAGTCCGAAGCAGGAACTATCAGCCCCGAATAAAATTTAGAGCTCTGCATTGCGGCTGCCTTGGAGGTAGTTATTTGTTTTTCGATGGTTTGACCCTCCTTTAAAAAAAAGATAACAGTAAAATTATCAAATGTACTTTTTCATTGTCTTGTTCGTAAATAATTAAAAAAAAAGTCACCAAACAGCGTTTAGGAAGCAAAACTTTGTTTTGGACTGATACCTTTTCGATGTAAAAGTTCAAATGGATATGCTTCAAAATTTGTTCGAAATTTTTCTGAGTTTTTTCATCCATCAATGGCATGCGTCCTCGCCGTGTTTGCATTGGTGAATGAATGTAGCAGAGTAAAACATCGATGAATGCACGTTCTTGGTAGACGAACTTTTTGGTGAATTTTAAATCGGTGAAATCTTTCCGCTTGCCATCCAAAAAGTCGCCATCGATGACTTGATTTGAAAGCTCACATTCTTTATCCTTTTCGGCTATGTAATTAATCATGTTTTGGTAGGTCTCATTTATTTCGCCCCCGAAATACGCATCTGACATGCGTTTACATGGTTCATAATTATAATTTGGAGAAGAGCCTATGAACTCGGTGATGCTGCGGCGTTCAAAGTCTTGCTGATTGGCAGCACCAGTTAGTGTTGGAGAAACCCAAAATGGTGACAACAAAAAGAATGCGTCTTTTATCGCATAGGAGTCAATTACATATGGCGGGTCGCTGGTGAGGTTACTGCAATAATAATGATTAATGTTAGATTGCAGTAAAAAAATGGATAAAATACCATTTAATTCACATTCAAGACAATTAATAATAATAATATCAATTTTCAATATTTTTTCTTACCCCAGCAAATTGGCTTTTTCATCGCCTGTATATGACACATTTTCCAATGTTTTTTTTGATTATTGGAAAAAAAACCATCTCCCAATAATCATCATACTCGGCTACATCAGTTATCAAGTTTGTCGGCTTTACGATTGGGAACAAACTCCAAATATTCTTACATGAGGGGGAACTCATTAAGTTTAACTGGCGTTGCACAAATGTATGTGGGAAATGCAATTTTCCTTTGTGGGGCTTTTTATTAGTAACCAGCCAAATTCCCTGCGGATCCGCCACGTCCGGTCGAATGTCATATTTGTATATTTTAAAATTGATTCTCGCATATTTACAGGGCTGTTATTTTCACTCTGTCAGTGCACGCACACAGTAGTGTGCACACTCACACTCAATGTGCGTCGCACACAGTGCTTGTATTTTGAATGTGCACGCACACTTAGTTACAAATTTGCCAACCGCCAAAAATGTCAAACTTGTGACTAAGTGTGCGCGCACATGCAAAATACAAGCATTGTGTGCGACGCACATAGAATGTGAGTGTGCACACTACTGTGTGCGTGCACTGACAGAGTGAAAATTACAGCCCTGCATATTTAGTGTTTTTGTTGCTTTTGTCTCTGGCCGTCGGCAAATGAACATAATTACGTCCAGGTGCAATTTCTTGGGTTTGTTTCCAATCAAAATCGACCAATTGGTTCTTTTTGGCATTTACCGCATGCGATGTATTAAATGAATCACCTGTTGTGATATTTAAAATCGAATCATCACCAACCACTGTATCATCGAATTGTTTCGTTTAAGATTTCTGAGATGGTAAAATCGTTTAAGTCATCCATCATTCCCGCTATGTCGTTGGATCTCATGTTCTTTGATCTTTGACGTTTTGGCTCAAATATAAATTCAGGTTCTTGATCTCCTGCAATGATACGTAAATAATAAATTTTATAGAAATTTTAGGTTAAAACTTAAGCAAACGATAAATTATGAAACCTCTGAGTAAAGACTTACTTGGTGAGCGCAAATGTTTGGAATCAGTAGCTTTCTTCGTTGCATCAAGAATCTCGTTTTTTCTCTCTTCGGGCAGCTCCTCATATGTCTTTTCGACATTGTAGGAAAAAAGTATAGATTCATCCGGGTAGACCTGTGTACCCATGTCCTTAGTTTGGTTGAAATAGACATCAACGTCTACTTCGAACGGACCCGGCAATGTCGAATTAAAGCAATACGTGGTGGTAGTGTTATTTACAAAAGTAGCGTAATGGTTGCTATTGCTGTAAAATGCTGATGCGTTCAACGAAAAGAGTTGTCCATTAAGTATCATACATTCATCGGGAACAATGATACAATTAATGAACAGCTGCCCATCAGGTGATAACTATCACTGATAAGGTTGTTTCTCGATCGAGTTTAAACAAGACCGTGCCGAAATCATTGTATGGATAGTATTTTGTTCGCCGAATCAATGTATGATCTTTGTGTAGGTCCATGTGCTCGGCAACACCAATGTGCATGTCCTCAATGGAAATTAATAAATTTTTTACGTATACCCCTGACATGCAGTCACTTAACACTTCCAGCAATAAAGAGATTGCTGTTATATTGGGGACATTTAAGTTGGATATCTCTTAAGTTTGCTTCTTTCTTTTCCACTCGACCAAAATAGAAAACCCAAACCGAAACGTTTTCTCAAGCACTTTGCCTCGATAAAAAAGACATTATACATACGTTTTTCTGTATCCTTGATCAACGTTGCAATCAAAAGAGTTGAACACGCACACAGATCAAGTCCTTATATCTCGAACTTCAATGAGTTTGCCTTATTGTCGTATGATATGCTAACTGAAAACTGAAAAAAAGCTTAGATGGCGGCATAAAGTTGATGGTGTCGAGATAAACTAACGAGAAAAAACATGTAGAAAAATCAAAATTGTAAATATCAGTTCGGGTGTATATTAAAGCTTATAAAATACAGGTGTTCAACGACACACTGTTATATATTAGTACTTTACAACTTTTGGAATTTTCTTCTGAAAAATCCGTTTCTCAGAATCAAAATCATAGAATGACAGAAAAGTGAAAATTATGACTTAAATCCAGGCCTAAAGTACCCTCATAAATTTATTCAAGCTAAACTCCATGTGAAAAAAATTATGAAATAAATTCAGAGAACCAGATATTCAAAATATTTATAAATTATATCTTTCGGAAATATTATGTTTTTTAATGTTAAAGAAAGAAATTCAATTTAAAAAAAATGAGCACTGAATCACACCAACATATTCATATTGGATAAATGTTTAATTGAAATTTTCTTGCGAAAAAACTTGAATAAAGTTTTTTTATGACTACCAGATCACTTGCTGGACGATCTAAAAACGACCAAACATTTGAATTCAGCCAATTCGTCAAAAATGCGTGATGTTCAATTTTTATCGCCATCGAATACAACGACAATTGTTGACGAGCGTTCATCGAGCCCAGCTGGCGTAAGTATATGCTTGACAATTCAGTGAATCAAATGCCATCAAAATATGTTTTGCCTTTTGTTTTACCATTTTATTTGACTCATATTGCTGTCGTTTTTCTTTTGTTCATTTTTATTTGTTAGGAAAATCGAAAAATGTACAAAAGCGCACGTTATGAATACTCATCTTCAAGTAGCACTCGTGATGGTAAAATTGTGGTACAACCCAAAAGCTATGAGTCAGTCGAGCCAACAAACATAAATCAGCTAGATAATTTGTTGGATGACTTAAAGCAGGAACGCGATTATACATATGATAAAGGTAAATCACAAACGACAACGAACACATGGCTGACTTTATTTTGTTTTCTCCGTTTTCTCTTAAATAAATGATATGTTATTTGATTTATTCACTTTATTTTGCAGCACAGATGCCGGTATCGATTCTAGTTTACTGTAAGTATGCACAATTGAAAACCAAATCGAGCAAATGTTC